TAAATTTTTTTTTTTAAATTAAAATATTAAAGAAAAGTGAGTTTCAAGGCTTCTTAGCACTTTTAATTAATTTTAAATAATAAATAATAAAACTTTAAAATTAAAAATAAAAATAAATTTAAAATTAAAAATAACAAATAATAAAAATTAATATGAATAATATAAATCAATAAAAAAAATCAATTAAATTTATACAAAATTAATTAAATTTCAGGTAATATTGACAGCTATTAAAGGAACCGATGAACTTGAAAATCATACAGCTTATGTACCTAATTCTGATCGAAAATATCTGATAATCACTTTGACAATAGTAGTAGTCGCTTATTTAATCTCTATGTCCACTGATTGTCTTGGAGTGGTCCTCGAATTGAACGGCATTCTTGCTGCTGTACCATTAGCCTATGTTCTTCCTGGTCTTTGCTACCTCAAACTCGAAGAAGGATCAATGTTCTCATCAAAGAAACTTCCAGCTTTGGGATTGATGACCGCTGGCATGTTCGCTGCAACCTCCGGCTTATTATTGTTGATTCTGAATAGAGATACTTCTGGTTCCTGTGTACACGGAAAGGTAATGCCGTATTGTATCGAGATTTCGAATAACACAAATTTTAATTCGACCATTAAGGATATCATCAATCCGATATAATTCGAAGATTTTTGAATTAATAGAGATATTTTCGAAATGAATTTAGAGTTGGTAGAAGTAATAGCATTATACATGTATATAATAATATACATTGTTCATAATATATTATAATATAATATTATATATTATATATTATATATATATATATATATATATATATAATATATAATATTATATATTATTATAATATAATATAATATATTATATATATGTTCGAATATAAAAGATTATTTGTTTTGATTATTGATTATTGGAAAACAGTTTTAAATTATAATAGAAAATAAAGATTTCTGATTTGAAGATTGTATATTAAAATTATTTTTTTTCTTGCTTAATGGATTTATAAATATAATAAATATATTATATAATATACACATGTATAATTTGGAAAGTAAATTTTAAAAGTAGATAATATTTACAGATAATATTTTTGTATTATCAAATATATATAAAAAACTATATATTCGGTATCATAAGAGAAAAAAAAACATTTTTTTTTTAATAAATAATATATTAATTTTTTGTTTTTTAAATAAGAAAGTTGTATATTTTTATTAGAAATATTTTTCTTTATTCTATATATTTAAAGAGTTATACATCTATATTTTTCTTATTCTTTTTCTTATCTTCTTTCAAGATGTTAAAAAATAATGAAAATGAATTTAAATAAAATAAGAATTATTATCTTCAATATTAACAATTTTTTACATTAGTTTTTTATATATTATATGCTAATTTTGTTTTTCGTACAATATTCACTCATTTTACAAGAAGAAATTAAATATAGATACCGACATTGCAGTTTAAAATTCAAAATATTTTCTTATTTCGCTGTATTCCTTCTACCAACTTGAAAAATAAGATTTATAGTTCATGAAAGAAAATTATATTTAAAAAACTTTTATATTAAAACTTATTCTCAAAAAAAATGATGAAATTGAGAAAAATGATAATAAGATTATAAATATTTTTGTTCATTTGTTTGGTTATATTAATAATCAAGAAATCAAAAGTCTTTTCTTTCGGTTTTAATATTTATATGTGTATATTATAATAATGAAAATATGGAGAAGAAATTAGGGAAAAATAAATTATAAACGAGAATTGAATAAATGAGAACATATTGTGAATGAAAGTTTATAATACATGATATATATATCTTGGAAATCAAAAAAAACAACTATTTGTTAAACTATTTGTTTTTAGCGTTATCTTGTTGAATGCGTGAATTTAAATATTTTTAAAATCAAAGACTAAAGACAATATTGTAATATACTTATGAATTACATTGTATAATTTTTTTCAGTGTTATATATACGCTTCTAAAAAATCATTAGCTTTTTTCAATTAATTTTACTATTAAAATCAAAATAATTTATATAATATATATGTATAATATAAATTTTTCAGTTATATTAAGAAATTATATATATATAATATATATAATTCTTCTTATAATTTTTTTTAAGTTTTTTTTTATATTTATTAAACATATATATGATTTTTAAATCAAAATAGTTTCTCAATTTAGTGATAGAAATGGAGAATAAATTAATAAAAAAAATAATATAGAATAAAAATATTTACAATTCATTGTTTTATTTTTAATTGTTAAATACTTTATTTACAAAATATTTGAAGAATTATTTAAATTTTATTAGAATTTTTTTATGTACTTGGATGAAAAATTTATATAAAATACGTAAAATTATTCCGATGAATAATAATTAATAAATGGCGGTATGAAATTTTATTACAATCAGGAATTGAATAAGTTTAATAAGTTATTTAAAATTAATAAATTATTTAATTCAAATAATCAAGATAACAAGAAACAAGGAAGATAATTAATTGTTATTCGTAAATTAATTGCAATGCTACATTTTATTACTTGCAATGTAATATGTTATTTAGTGTTGGCAATGTAAAATATTCTAACACAATAAATTTTCTACTTAAATTTACAAAAACATATAGTATTAAATATAGTTGCCAATAAATTATTACTCATAAAGTCACAAAATTACTTTTGATTAATTACTTTCTTTACAGAGAGATATTGATAAAATTATTTTTTTTTGATGAAACAAAAAAATTAAAGAATTTTAAGGAAAAAAATAGAAAAATAAGATGAAAAGGATATAAGAAAAGTATAATATTTAAATAATAAATGAATAATAAATAAGAATTTCATTCTTCCTTTTTAATGATGATATTTTTGAGTTGATATATATGAATAAATAATAAAATTAACCGAAAATATCAAGAAGAGATATTATTTCTCTTAAATGAACTTTCTATTGAATGCAACTTGATGCAATTAGATAATATATTGATTTTCGATAAAAATAATATTCATTACAATTAAATAATATTAAGCTGTTATGACACTATTTTTCGAATCTTTACGATAAAGGCATATTATTAAATGAAAAATAGCATACCAAGATTTTGTATAAAGAAGAAAAAATTAATAATAACAATATGATAAAAGCTTTTTCTTCGACATTATTGAAATTATTTTGATAATTATTTAAAATGCGTCTTCAATTTCGATGATTCTTAAATATGTTATAATCAATATTTTAAACAACTTTTTTCTATAATATATTATATTATAGATTACAATATAATATATATATTCTATATATATTATATAATAGTCAAAGTTTCTTAGTATTTGAAACATTTGTAAAATTTGGCAATTAAATAAATAGAAAAAAATTCTTTTAAATGTTGATTTCTATAACATATTTAAAAATTATATAAAAAATTATTAAAAAAATTATATATCAAAAATACATCTTTCTAAATAATTATCATTATTTATTGATATAATTTATTGCAAATTTTTCGATTAAATTAAGCATTTTTTTTTATTTTGTTCATTTATTTACAATTTATTTGCATTAACATGCATTTAAAATATATTTAAAAATTTAAATATGTTAGAAATCTTCTTTTAATATGAACTATTATTTGATTTCTGAAAAAAATTTAAATGTAATCGAATAAATATATATAAAATATTTCATAGGATTAGTGCAAAAAAAAAGGATTATTTAAAAAAAAATTATTTAAAAATCTAAAATAAAATATAATATTACGATATTTTAGTTAAAAAATTCCTATTTTTATATAAAATTGCTTTTCTAATTGCTATAAAATAAATATTATAAAATATTATAATATTTAAAAATATGTTAATTTGTTTAATAAAATTTATAAACAGTTATTTTATTTTAGATATAAAAATATTTAATTTTTCAATTGTATTAAATCCTAAGAAATGCAACATGTTAGGCCTAATAAGTATTGATTAATATCTATAAATGAAAATTAATTTGTAGAGAAGGATATATAACAATCACAGACCATAATAACGAAAGTATTTAATATGAAAACAAATAAGGAAATATATTATTTAAATTATGCTCCAGTTGAAATTTTTATGATATAAAAATTCATGTAAAATATACCGGGTATCCATAAATTTGTATATAACATTTATCTATGTATATCTATATGTATTTATCTTTGTCTATCTATATATATATTACATGTATAATATATATATCACATATATATAATATATATAACATTTATATATAGATTGTATGTATAAAAGAAAATATTATAATATAAATGAAATTGTCTTTTAAAATTAACATTACAGTTTAATGTAAACATTAAAATTAACAGTTTTCTAGAGAATATTATATATTCAGTTTCCTAAATAATATTATATTATTCGTTATTTTATTAGCAATATTATAATCGTTATTTTTCATATATTTTTTATAAAAAATAAAATATTTTTCTTTTAACAAAATATGTTAAAAAGATAAATCAATCTGACTTGTTTATCTTCTTTAGTAATAAATTCTTAAAAAATATAATGTTTTCATTTATATTAATATATCAGACTAAGTTTTGAAAACGAGCTAATTAAATAATTAAAGATGATTATAATTTTACAAATTATTTATTTATTTTATTTTTATTATTATATTAATATTATTCATTAATAAATAGATTGTGTTTAAAATAAAGTTCAATTTTTATTAATAATTCATAACAACATACATTTATATATATATTTATGAAAATATATAAAAATTTTAGAAAATCAAGAATATAAGAAAGTATATAAATACACACATATTGAAGTATTTATATAATAAAAATTAAATTAAAAATTCTTTAAACTTATAAAATTTTTGGAAAATCTTTTAATAAATAATATTTGCAAAAATTTTTGTTATATATTTGCTATAAAATTCTCGTTTTTAGAAAATTGTTTTTAGAAAAATCTAATAATTTTAAGAAGTAAATTTCATAAAAAAATTTATAACTTTATTTTCTATGTATTTTTTATACATATTATATTATTTTTTTCCATTTTTAATTACTTTACATTTTTTGTTAGAATTAATTTTTTTAAATTTATATAATTTTTGAAATTTTCTAAAAAACTAGTAAAATTATCTTGATAAAGAAATATTCTAAAAAAGTGCAAATATTAAATATAATAATATAATAATAGATATATAAATATAATAATAGATATTAAAAATATAATATCTATTATTTTTGTATAGATAGTATCAATTTATTAACAAAAGTATTATTTATTATTATATATAGTATTATTTATTAATAAAAAAAAAATCTATATATAATACTATAATGCACAAGAAACTGATATATATTCTACGGATACTCGGTATTTTTTTATGTAATCAAAAATTATAAGAATTGAATATATAAAAATTGAATAATAGTATATAGAACACATAAAACAATAATATCAAAAAAAGCAGTCATTATTGACAATCGCATTACAGACCAACTATAAAATGCAAAGCAAAAAATAATAATTTGAATTTACTAAATAAATTCTGTTGAAAATGTGAAAAAAATATATAAAAAATTAACATTTTTGAAAAAAATAATACAAGTTCCTAATTCTCTTAATAATTATAATTATCTTTTGATTATAATCATTATAATATTATATTTTTTTATGATTTATATGATATACTTTATTTGTATGATTTGTGCAATAAAAAATAAATTTTTGCACATATTTTTTGTTTTAATAATTTGATTTATTTCTATAACTATAAATAGTTCTATAACTATTTATAGTTATAGAAATAATTATAAATAATTATAGAAATAAATCAAATTATATATAACAATTAAAAATTAAAAATTTTGTCTATTAAAAAAATTTAAATCCATTTTTTTAAGTATTGTAATCAATTATGCATTATAATTTAAAAGTTTTATATATATATTTTTTATAAAACTAAAATTAAAAAAAAAGAAATTCTTTTATTGCTTTAAAAAATTTTTTTCTAAGATTTAAATATTTTTTAATAATATGAAGAATGCACAAACTTTCATTTTCGAATAAATGAATATATATATCAATATATATAAATCAATATATATATTGATTTTTTTCTGATATAAGGATAGAGTGCAATAATTTAATCCGTTAAAAGTAGAATATTTTTTGTATATTTTTCTTTAGAAATTGTGACGAAACTTTAAAAAAATAAGTGCTTTATTTAAAAAAAATAGAAATTTATTATTATTTATATGATTAAAATTTATACGTAAAATTTTAATAAATTTTTATGTTTTAAAGTATGATTTTAAAAATCATACTTTTTAATTTGCGTCTTTAATTAATATAGTGTATATATGTGTATGTATATATATAAAATAATTTTTTTATGATATATATATATATATATATAATTTATATAATAACTTTATATATATATAATAATTTATAAATATTTATATAACATATATTAAATAACATATATTTATATATGTTATTTATATAATATATAATTATTTTAATTAAATATATCTGTTTTTAGATTATTATTATGTATATAATTTTTATTGAATTTAAACAAAGTATATTCACAAAATTATACAATTAATATTAAATTCAAATATACTTATTTTTCTCAAATATAATTTTTGTTTTTTACATATTACGTTATACGTTATAAAATATGTTTTAAAATTTTATAATAATAATTTTATTCATATAATTTTTAATATAAATGCATGTTAATTTTATCTTCAAATTATAAAGAAATATAATATTGGAAAATATGAAAAAAAAGATAGAGAAACAAAGATAAAACTTCTAATTTAATTTTTATTTCTATAAAAGATGCGTTAAAATTATTGCCAGAAAATCTATGAATATATATAATTATATTTACTCTGTGATATATATATGGACAGTATATTTATGTTTCGTTGAAACAAATCTATACTTTAAATGTTCTATTGTAATATTGTTAGATTTGAAAAATAAATTCGAATAATAAAAAATGAAAAACATATAAAATCAAAATAGAATATATTTTCTTACCTTTCCTTCCTTGATTTAAATTCTTACTTTGCATTCTCCTGTATTCTATTATTTTATTTCAGAAAATTTTATTTTAATAAAAATAAATTAAATAAAAGACAGATTTATATATTTTTATGTATATGCATTTAAAAAACATATATATGTGCATAATATCGTGATATAAAATAACGTGATAAATTATATTTAAAATACAATTTATATATGTATTTTTAACGTTTTCTTGTTAATAGATATATTATCAAATATATGTCTATTTATATAATATTCATAAATATGAAGTATAGTAATAAAAATAAAGTATATTTGTTATGTTATTTTTCTGAATGAGAAAAGAATGAATTATTAATATAATAATAAGAGTTTATTATATATAATAATATGTACATAGAGGTTAAGAAAAAGAGAAAAAATAAAACATTATATGAAAATGATAATATAAAAATGATAAAATAGAAAAGAATAAATAAAAAAATTCATTTTAATAATATATTTTTTGATTTGTATATTTTCGTCTTTTTTTTAAAATATAATATCATAAAATCATTACATTATAAATCTAATGTTATAATTTTATTTTCATTAATGTTTGTTTATATTGTAAAATATTTTAAAACTTAAGATAATTAATTATTATGAATTATTTAATATTATTATTTTATAATTTAATTAATTAATTATATAATATTATTTTATATTATATTTTTATATGAATCATATCTTTTTTTTATATTATATTATTGATTTTGTAGTGTTTTTTTTCAAAATTTTATTATTAATTAACAATTTTATATAATATTCATATTATTATGTTTAAATAGATTTTAATTTCAAATAATAACGTATTAAAAATATATTCGATTTCTTAGGTGGGGAGTTCGAGTTATAACTTGATTTTCAAATGCATTAGAATGGAAGTTTCGAAAAACGAGCAGATAGTTGATACATATGAGAAAATTTATGGAGATGAATGTCGAATCTGTTTGAAAAAAGCTGTTGAAATTTGTGAACTTTTTAGAAATGGGGACACTATTCCTCGTAAACTTATGGCTGTTGCCTCAGTACAGGTTAGTTTATAACTCTTGCGATAATAACATAATAAAAAATATTTTTTAATATTTTTTTTCTTTTTTTTGTTTGTATTTTTAATATTAATATTGTCTATTTTTTGTGTTTTTAAAGAAGTTTTTAGGATCGATGTGATTTATATTAACAATAAATAATTGAAGGCCAACAGTTACAAGTGAATTTTAAATTTTGAAAAATAAAAAAAAAATAAAAAAAGCAATACATTATAATATTTTTAATAAATTAAAAATTATGAATTTGTATTTCCTTAATTGTGTTATTATCCAATTATTTGTATACTAATAAAGAAATCTATTATTATAATTACAACAGTGTTTGGTTTTATTTATTATTTTATAAACTCAAATATAAATAATATAATACTTTAAAAACTATGTATATATATTTATATTTATAAATTATATAATAAACAATTGATAGCTTTGAAAATGATAATATCATATATTGATATATTTTATTAATTGATTTGAAAAATATATATGTATTTGTTCTAGGTTAAAGAAGGAGATGGTTTACCACCAATAATCTGTTTGTCTTGTAATCAACGTTTGGATGCATCTTATAATTTTAAATGTCAAATACAAAATTCAGATACAAAACTTCGTCAAATCTTAAAACTAAAATCTTCTAATGATTCTGTTACCAGCACCAGTATAGTTACAGCAATAATTGCTGATGTAATATCTAGTGTAATATCATCTGAGAAAGAAAATGTAGAAAAACAAGAAATTTGTCCTACAAATTTCTCTCCTGAAAATTTTTGTTTTATAAAAGATGAAACTTCCTTTTGTCTTAATACACAGGAAAATTTATTTTGTCATGATAAAGAATTAGAAAATCAATCACAAAATTTTCAAAATGATACAGAGCAACGAAAAAATTTAGAAAATGTAAATGTTTATAAAAATTTATTAAATGATAATTCTGTAAGACAAATCAATTCAATGAAACAAGAATTTTCTCTATTAGATGGTCATGTAGTACAAAATAAAGATATTTTAAAAGAAGAAGTAAATATTGAAGAAAACCAACAAATGTTAGAAGAAATATCGAGGATGGATAATATTCAAGATGATGAAGAAAAACCATTAATTTCACGTACAACTAGATTACGTTGTACCCAATGTATTAAGTCATTTCATTCAAAAGTGGCTTTACAGAGACATGCCATTGTACATAAACATAAAACTAAATTACGTTATGTTTGTTATGTTTGTGATAAACAATATTCTACTCTTGCAAAAGTAAAAAATCATGTTGCAATTTGTCATGAAGTTCATGATAGGAAAGAAAATAATCAACATAAGAGAATTAAATATGAGCAAAGCAAAACAATTATAAATGTACAAGATAAGAGAATTAGTAATGTCCAAGTAAATATTTTAATTTAATTATATAAAAATAAATTTGATTTCAAATTTATCTTCAATAACAATATTAAAATTATTTGTAAATTTTAATTATTATAAATTTTAATTAAAAGATATATATTTTATTATTCTTTATTGCAATTATATATAATTTATTATATATAATTATATTATATATAATATAATTTATATCATAAATTTCAGGATAAAAAAATAAAAGTGCAAAAAAATGATGATTTTTCTAAAAAGCAAAAAAAAAACCTAAAATTCACATGTGAAGTTTGTTCAAAACAATTTACTTATCAAAAATCATTTATTACACATGCTAAAAGTCATCCAGAATATAAATTAGAAGAATCAGATGATTTATCTCAATATTCATCCAAAGGAAGATCTATAGAAACTATTAAAGAAGAAGAAGAGAATGAAGAAGAAGATGAGGAAGATGAAGAAGATGAAAATCTTCCTGTTGAAAGTTTACAATGCACTCAATGTGGAAAATTATTTGCAACAAAAAGGAATCTTAAAAGGCATGTTTCTACACATAGTGGATTAAAATATACTTGTGAAACATGTGGTAAAGGATTTTCAAGAATAGATAAATTAAAAGATCATGAGCAATCAAAACATAAATCTGAATTATTTGAAAATTCTGATTTTGATGATAAAGAAGATATAGACAATATAAATAAAGGAGACTGTTTAGAAGAAAGAAAAAAGGTAAATGTAAACATTCTCAGAATATAAAATTGATTTACAAATTTATATTTATATTTTATATTTTAAATTTCAAAGTAATATTTTTTCATTTTAAAATAATTTCTTAAAAATTTTAATATTATTTCAGGATCGTCATAATAGACCTCACAAATGTGTAATCTGTCCTAAATCTTTTGCACAGGCTCAATCATTAGCAAATCATATAGAACGTCATAAACGTGTCAAAGAAACGCAAAAAAGATTTCTTTGTGAAGTTTGTAGCAAGTGCTTTGCACAAAGTGGTTCTTTGGTAGCTCATATGCGTACTCATACAGGAGTTAAACCATATGTTTGTAACATATGCAGTAGAGCTTTTACAAAAAGCACCTATTTACAATTACATTTGCGTACTCATAGTGGAGAGAAACCTTATATATGTCAATATTGTAGCCGGGCTTTTGCACGTGCTAATACATTAGCACGGCATATAACAATGCACACAGGAGAAGCAAAATATCATTGTCAAATTTGTACAAAGTCATTTAGAAGATTAACCTCATTAAATGAACACACTTATACACATACTGGACAGAGACCATATGCATGTAAAATTTGTACAAAAAGATATAATAATGCTGGATCACTTTATGCACACAGAAAAAAATGCAAAGCACAGCAATTATCTACTCCAGGATTTGCAGTTTCTGAAGAAAATTCTGTATCACAACCAGATTTAGATGTTCCTCAAGTTTTGATTTATTCTCACAGGAAATTAGTAGAAGATGCAACTGTTGGACAAGTTACACCTACACCACAATATATGATAGCAAACGTACACAATCAGAAGAATACAACATCAAATATGATTCAATCTTTTTCAGTGGATGATCCAAATGTTTATGCAATTAATTCGAAGCAATTTAAAAATCCTTATTATACAATTTATCCAAATATGTAAAATAATAACTTGTGCAGGATATAATTGATTAAAGAATACTTTTTTTAAAGCGACTTATATATCCTTCTTGTAAAGCAAATATATATATAAATACAAAAATATAATAAAATATTTAAGGTAAGTATTGAAATAAGTGAGTAAATACATATAAGATAAGATAAAAGTACATGTAAAAATTTTTTAAAAAGAATCTCAAAAAAATATTATTTTTAATTACAAATATAATTAATTAATTAATTTTTAATTGTATTTTTGATATTTAATTTATAGATATAATCTATAAGATATAATCTTGTAAAAAAATTTTGATATATGATTATAAGATAAAATTTAATTTTTATCGATAGTAATTAAAAAATTTAATTATATTTTTATAAAGAACTAATTTTTTCCAAGGACAATAATAATATTGAAATATATCAAATATAAAAATGAAACAATATTACGTTTATAATATTTTATAATGATAAATAATTTTACATATTATACATTTTTTAACAAATATCACATATATGTATAATTGCAATTTTAAAATTTATTCTTCTTTACATGAAAAGCTTGTATTATCATCAGATATATTATTTTTTAGATTTTGTGGAATTTCTTCTAATTTCAAATTTGGTGAACTTTTTGAACATGGTAATGATTTTTCAATCATTGATATGTTATCTGTTGTATTTTTTCTATTCGTTTTCACAATTTGTTTCCATTGAATACCTTTTTTCTTACTTAATCTCATTGATCTATGTCTTTTTACAAGAAATTTAGGACTTCTATTTTTTGGCACTGTTGCTGTTATCGAAGTTGATGAAGGTGTTTCTGGCAGTGTTAAATGACACATTATATGATGGCATTGTATTTGACATGTATCTGAATGAGGACTATCATTGGGATTTATGTTATCAGATGAATATACATTTTCGAAATTAGATCGTTTCTCTTCTTGAGAACATTCTGAAGCTTCAAATGAAAACGATTGCATAATATTTGATGTTTTATAATCTTTCCATGGATTTATATTGGTAGTGTATACAATAGGTGTATCTATAATTTGTTTTGTAGATTTTGATAAATTGGATGTACTTGACCAAGGCTGTATAACAACTTTAGGACTTTTTGTTAACATAAAAAGTGGTTTTCGATTTGTATCGATTCGTGATATCGAATGTTTTCCTAGAGATGAAAATTTCTTCATGGTTTCTGTTATAATTTTTTTTCGTTGTTCTGTTTGATTAACTTGGATCGGTTCTTGAATATCAAATTGTAAAATTGTTTCAGAATAAGTTTGATCAATTGTCGTAGGTGTTTCAGAGTACTGACTAATCTGGCTGAAACAAACGAGTCTAATTTAAGAAAATTTAATTTCATAAACAATTCTTTTTTCTATAAATTTTTTTTTCTAAATCTAATCTTGCTTTTCTAAATTTAATACATTTTTAATATATTATTTAATATAATTTTTTATTTAATCTTTTATTATTCTTTGTATTTTTTTGTATAGTTACTGTAAACAAATAATTTTTATTTTTTAAAATAATACTTTAAAAAAATAAAGTAAAAAAAAAATAAAATATATAAAAATTGACATCATAATTTTACCGTTTTTCACATAATGGACTATCATTAGCTAAACTTATAGTTGATGTGTGATGTGAAGGTTTTGTATCTTCTTCTTCTTCTTCTATAACATCTGGTAGAAACATGGTTTGTTTTTCCTCAGGAACTCTAAATATTAATTTTAAAATTATTTCCTTACTTGTTAACATTTTAAATTCACTTATAACATCAATTTTACTAATATACTAACGTCATATTTGCTACACTACCACGATAAGTTTTCTTTTTATAAGCTGCTGCTGCTTCAGTATATGGTAAGATTAGATTTTCAGCATCAAAATAAATATCTTTAACTAATGGTGGACATCGATTCATAAGAGTATCTACTCCAAGATATGATACCTGAAAATACAATATATGTTAATTAATATTAAGTATAAAAAATGAAAAAATAAAATTATATAATTTAAATATATTAGAAAAGATATAAATAAAGAAGTTCAATTATACTTTGGTATGACGATCAATTATCCAATTTAATTCAAAATCTTCATCATCATCACCAAAGGGATTAATTAATTGTTCTGCTACCTATTAAAATGTATTATGTATTATATTATATTTTATTATTATTTTGATAATTATTATTATATTTTTATGATAATAAAAATTAAAGATACCTTTAATAAACCCATAAAAAAGAAAAATTGTAGAATCGTAAAAATAGGTATATAAATGTCAATTTGTAGTTGGAATTGTTTTTCTTTGCCTTCAATGTATTGGCGAGCAATTAAAGCTACTCCAAAGAAACTATATGTTGCTAATGTTACTACTTGTGTATAAACTAATGGAATTGATATCCAATCGAAACTCCATAAGAGACCACATTTTGTACGAAATTCATTAAATTCCTGTTATGATCATTATTTATTAATATAATTTATTAACATAGATTATATATCATGAATTAATATGTAAAGCTTTATAATTACACATTCTTTTTATGTTATAAAATATAGTACCTCCATAATTAATTTCAATCCTTGAGGATCAGGAATTCTATGATTTTGGCGCGCCTCTTTCAGAAGATTAATAAACCATGTACAAGGGATCCAATAAGTGTTGAATTCTAAACTCGGAACCGCCAAAAACAAATTTAATTCAAGTGATGTCATAAAACCTACAAAGTGATATTATTTAGTCAATCAATGTAATATTAATAATTAAGTATCAATATTAAAAATTAATTTTATTTACAAATTTTTATGAATGTAAACAAATTTTATATAAATTTTATAAATTATATATAATTTTATAAATTTATTATATTATATTATATATTATAATATTATAAATAAATTTAAAAATTTATATATATTTTATTAAAAAAAGATTTATTTTTATCAAAATAAGTTTTTAATTCAAATTTATTTTATTTTTATTTTTACTTGTAAAAATTTTTTATTATTTTTCATATCATAGGTTTTGACTTGTTAGTCTTTCTTCAAAATAAATAAATTTATATATATTTTGGGAATATATATGAGTTAAAATTATATTCAACTAAAAGAAAACTTTACCAGAATCAACGACGTGATCAAGTGTTGGAAATCGTTTTTTTACTGCTGAACTGATCGAACGTAACACAAGTATCAAGGAAAGATTCAAATAACGCATCAGAGCTCTTCGAAGAGTACGACCGTATTCATCATTTCCAGTAATATATAACGCAATTAAATGCATAACTCTATTAATAATAATCATTAATATTAAATTCTGTATCTTATTAAATATTTATTTTTATAACTTACTTATCAGGCCAGGGTATTGCTTGATATTGTTGCCACCATCTTTGAGCAACATAAGATACATAGAATCCAAGAACAAAACTTAATGGAATTAAATTAATAAAATTGTCACAATAAATAACGATCTGTTCGAATTCTCTAAATATAAAATAGCTTAATTAATAATTAATTTTTTAAATGTTTTCTTTTTTATTTTATAAATAATTTATAATGAGATAAGTATCATTTCTATTTTATTATTACAATTTTTGTGCATTAATATAAATATATAATACAAAAGCTTAATTATAGAAACATTGATTATATAAATTATAATTTAATTCATTATTCTAATACTGTTTAATAAAAATTAAATTGCGAACCTTTTTTGTTTAGAATTTAATATATGACGGTAAATAGCAGAAAGTCCAGCAAATAAAATTAAAAATAAAAGTAATTCTCTATAGATAAGTTTGTAGAGTGAACCTCTCCACATAAAAAGGAGTCTGGTAAATCCACCTCTGGTAGAATTTGCGACTTGATATTGATATGAAACAGTCATTCTTTCTTTATTCAATATTTGTCAGGTTCGTAATAGAAGTAATTTTGTCGTAACAATAGTAATTTCTTTCTTTTCATTGTTACTGTAAACTTCATCTTTATAAACCCGATAAAAATTATTTCTATAATATTTATATATAATTATATAATATATGAATACTTTCTTCTTATAAAAATATTGGATTTTTTATTTGCATAAATTTTATATCATTTTCATAACATTTTAAATTAATAAATACCTTAGATATTGTGAAGTAAATATATGATGAAATAAGACATCTTTCTAATGAAATAATAATTTTAATTATTTTGTTTACAACTTTTTTTCCATGAAAGAATTATTAATTTAAAATCCATTGTAGATTTCTGTAAATAAATGAAATGTTTAATATAATATAAATAACATTTTATTTAACATAATATTTTATAATTTTAAATAAAAATTTAAAAAATCGAATATTATATTATTATTATTGAAAATTAATTAATTTTCAATAATAAATTTTTCAATTTAATTTATTCAATTTTTAATTTACTAAAATATTTCAATTTAAAAATAAAAATTATAAATATTTGATTATTAATCCAATTTAAGTAGAAAAAAAAGCTCTATACTTGAAAATACAAATTAGATAAGTATGAATAAAGATATTGAAAAAAAAAAAATTATATTACTATATAATATGTTATAGTAATGTGCAAGCATTGGTATGATTTTTTTTGTCTATGCACCATAAATAATGTCGAATAGTTTGGGATTTGTGCCAGTAGATATGTAGCAGTGTTGTTAAATATAATTTCGAATATCGAAATAATTGTCGTTTGAGTAAACATAACATTTATACTACAATTGCATCTTATTTATCTTTACTGATAAATTGGTAGTAAAAATTTTTCTTGGATTAATAAATTATTATCATATAATACATTTTAGAAGATTTTTCAATTAAAAAGAATAATAAATTACCATCATAAAGATTTTCAGTGAAGATTTTATATATGATTAATATAATAATTTATAATTAATTAATAAAAAAGACTATACATATTTTAGCAATATATATTTTTCTGATTTTTTGAATATTTAATTTCTTATTAAAAATTTAAAATATCAAATAAATCTTATTCACTATTAATATTATTTATTAAGTGATTCTTAAATTTTCAATAATTTATAATTAGAACTATTTATTACATATTAATCAATTAAATATTGATTATATCGTATTTGTTAAATTTTGATTATAAAGCTTAAAAACAACTTAAATATTTTCTTTTACAATAAAACTTTTCTAATAGTTTATATACTTTCAATTACTATTTTGAATCTTTTATGCGCTAATAAAATAAAATTCTCCTTTACATTAAAAAAATCTACAAAAATCTTTGAAAAATAAGGATAATAAATAATAAATACATTAATATATAAGAAATTTTACTTTCTAATTATTAGATTCATATTATAACTAACAGAAATGTTACATGAAAATTTATTTTTATATAATTACATATTTATTAATAGTAAATATTTAATTTAATGAAAAATATTTTAATTAATATTTTTAACGAAAAATTATATTTTTATGATCATTATTTAATAAAAAAAATACCTGATTTATGAATTTTTTGATTGAATTTTTTCTTTGGAATCATTGATGTTGTAATCACTTGTTCTGTGTTGTTTCTAATGACACGTGTCTAACAGATCATCTGATGGTAGCTCGATATTCCTCGATCTAAAAATATATTGTTCGAAAGAAGCATATGACATTGGCCAAACTACGAAATGCTTTCGTTTTAATATAATTTTTATTATAATAATTTTAAATAGATTAAGTTAATTAAAATTAATTCAAAGCGATTTATTTTCTATTAACTATTTTTTATTTATTCAGAAAACTTAATAGAAATATAATTAATATATCAATATAGAATTCAAATATATATATATATATTTATAAGTAATTTTGAAGTTTGTAATTAATTTTATTTCTTTAATATATTGTTGAAAAAATATGATATGAAAAAAGATATATTTTATTTAATTTAAAAAGATATATTTTTATATAGAATTATATGTTAGTAAATATTTCTCAAAATTATTTGTACAAAAATTTCANAATACTAAAAATATATATATTTAATATATATATTTTCTCATTATTATTATAATATATTATTATATATTTTATATATAAAATACTTTGCAAAAATTATATATTTATGTAATAAATAATATTATGTAAAAAATTATTTATTAACAGACAAATTAATTGTTATGAATTAAATTCTTGCATAAGAAAAAAATTAATTATTTTAATTACTATCAAAATTTGATTCAATTTAGTAACATTGATAATAAGTTTTTCATATTCATA